CAGTGCCGCCACAAGCCGCGACAGTAATGGGCCGGCAGAAATCTGATCCTGTGTCCAGATTGTCGTCTGTGATATCATCCGCTGCCCCACGAGGTACGTTGGGCGCCGGCCGTTGATCGTTGGAGTCGACTATCATCCCCCCATCCTCCTCTGCCCATATCTCTTTGTAGTGACGTTGGCCCCTTCTAGGGAGCACAAACGGTGCTATTCGATCACCTCGCTCCTTTAGAAAGGCGACATCTTCCTCGGTCAAAGGTCTTATGTAGGGCTCCACGTAATTTGCAAAGACCGTGGCGTTGACCTGTGCGGCAGGTTTTGCGTTGGAGAAATCCTTGTCAGGCGGCAGACCAGCAATCCTGTCACGTAGATCTGATGGAGGAAACTCTGCGACGCAATATATCTCTTTCTTCTCCTCATCCGTCATGCCTGGTGTGACCTCGCGTATGTGATATATAGTAGGGTCATCGAACTTGCATGGATCTGGACCAAAGGTCTGATGTTGAGGCAATGCAGGCGCGGGCGCGGGTTGGTGAGAGATATCTGACCCAGTGGGAGAGGGAGCCTCCGCAGCTGCTGCACCGCCGGCTGAAGGGGGAGCTTGTGATATAGGCGAGGACATGGATGACGAATTGTCTGCGTCGAGATAGAGTAGATTAGCAATGTGTACAATGGTTGTTGCTATCTCCATGCCAAGAGAGGTAGATGCCAGCGACGGGGTGAGACGAATGCATAGGTGAGACTTGGGCTGGAGGAGGAGGTACCTTTGGGGTCCACGCCGTCTTGCCTGGCGACACCATGGGCGCCCGTCGTGGGCGGATGCTTGCCATCCTCATCGTGCTTCTTGCTCACTTTCTTGAGCTTGTGCTTGCGGTCACGATCGTCTGCCTCCTTGTCCTTGTCCCTCTCTCTCGGCGTACGGTTCTTGCGGATGCTCTGCAGCTCCCTGAGGGCGCCTTCGGATTGTGTGCAGCGTGCCTCGACATGCTTGAGCACCGTCTTCTCGATCTGGTCGCGTAGCGCCACCAGCTTGGAGCCAGATGGTATTTGTGAGCTGGTACCCGCACTGTCCAAGATATCTTCGACGGTGGACTCGGACTTTCTGAGGTAGGAGCTGAGCGGTTTGCTAAAGTAGGTCGACGCTGTGGAGGGCTCGACCGAGGGGCGGGCATTGGGGAGTGGTGTGGTATTGCGACTGCGTGGGGCGCCGGCAGCCTTTGAGCCTGACTTGGCCTTGCCCTTGCTGCTGACAGCGGGGGGCATGGTGAAGGTGTGGACAGGCACAGAGGTTGGCGGGGAACGAGGAAGGGTCGCGTCCACGGCGAATGTGGGGTTCAGTGGTCCTCGATATCTACGGTAGGTACCGGTAACGTTTGACTACTCTAGAGTATTGAAAGGGAGGGGCGGAACTGTAGGTATATGGGGTATGTAAGGTAGGTCAGTGTGTTGGCCGTTGCGCGCGTAGTGTAGGCAGTCCTCTTCGTCCTCTTTCGTTCTTCTCCTCTGTCTTCTTCGTCTTCTAGCACATGGGCCGGCCGTTTTGTTGCTTGCAAGGTTCCTCAGGCCGGTGTCGGTGGCGCGTTGTTGACCACTGCGTTCGCCAAGCACAGGCAAGTCGGCCAGTCGGCGCCAGGTTGAACAGCGTTAGCGTGAGACATCGGACATGAGATGTCGTTCCATGATGGCGAAGTCATCCCATCCCCAGCCTCAATCATGAGTGCTGGGAACAGTAAGCCATGAATGTACGGTACAGTATACTAAGCATTCAACAACACTAACTTTCCATCACGGCTGCCGCCAGATGCCAAAGCCGCTACGATACATAGGAGTCGAGTAGAACGGACTGCCCTGCTACCGATACATCATAGTACATGCAATGGCACATGCAATGGCACATAGAGTACAAGGGCCCATACAGTAGCTAGGTGGACAGATAGCTTCTACGGCGTACCATGTACGGTACTACTATACTACCAGGTAATTCATTCCTTCTCCTCACCCCAGTGCCGCCCAGCGCCTCCATCATCCCCACCCGCCCCCCCATCCGAGAGGGAGAGGGAGACTGGTGAGAAGACGTGATGGCGGTGGTGGAGTGGAAGAGGGTCGGGTGGCGGTGGTGGAGGTGGAGGAGGTGGCTC